ATCTGAAGCCCGACCGGCTATCCATGTTGTAAAAGGTTATCTGAAATCAAACGGCTAAGTCCTAAAAATTGATCTGAAGCCCGAACGGCTACCAACTTATGAAAAAGCCCAGGTGCGAAGAAAACCAAGAAAACAGTTGTCCTAAGAACTGATCTGAAGCTCGACCGGCTATCAACGTTGTAAAAGATTATCTAAAGCCAGAATGTGCTAAGTCCTAAAAAATGCTCTGAAGCCCGAACGGCTGAGTCCCAGAGAGAAGGGGTTTTTTCCTTAATAAATTATCAGAACCTTCTAGTGCCCGAACGGCGATCAACGGCATTAGGAGTATTTGAGCAAGAAATAAAGTCAGGAAATTGGATAAGTCCTACAAAGGCCGAATCCCGAATGGCGAGTAAATCATGCAATAAAGACAGAAAAGACAGTACACAAAGCTTCATGCAAAAAAGGGATATATATTCATCGGTTCTACTGACCGGGAAGTACAAGCTACTTAGAGAAAAGAAAATTACAACAAGTAATTAAAAAGTACATATAAATTATTGGTCGGGGGCCATTTCATCTCCCTCTTCGTCCTCGTCCTCATCATCATCGGACGGGGGCTCAGGCTCTCTCCCAGCAACCCGATCAGCTTCCCGTTGCTGAGCTCGCAGAAATTTCTCGAACTGAGCCTGTATTATGTCATCTTTGGGAAGATCAGAAGCTTGAACCGGCCTCCCCGGATTATTTTGAAGCTGAGCAACGAAGGGACGCAGCAGGACCTGGCCAATTTTGTCATAAAGGTCTGAAACAATGGAGTCGTTCCATTTTTTGGCCTCGGGATCCTTGTCCAAGAGGGCCACTCCTGCCGATAGCCGACCAGCACCTTTGGGGAAACCCTTCAAGTACGCCCCAAAGGCGAACGTGATTTGGGTCCTTGCGTGATCATCCTTGATGATGGAGAATTCATCAGAGGATTTAAATGTTTCCCGGACGGCGGACAGATCCACGTTCACTTCATAGGGACCGTCCGGGATGCTGGATGGCATTTCTTCAAACTTGACCTGTGCGGCCTCAGCGGCAAGGACCTTTGCCTGGGAAGCTGCAAGTTGGACCCGAAGGGTCAGCATCCAGCCTCTGATTCTCCTCCGCAAAGGCCTTCCGTTCGGCCTTCAGAGAGGTGATGGCTGCAGCAGCATTTTGCTCAGCAGAAGATTGGGCAACAATCAGTTCCCGTTCCTTGGCCAGACGGGCTTCCCGCATTTGAAGGGTGTACAAACCCATCTACAGAGCACCGTTCGAGAGTTAGTACTGATTACAGAGAATAAAATAAAGACAAAGCGCAAAAGATAATGTACCTTCAGAGCGGTCAAAGCCAGACATTCTTCAGATTGCTCGACCGGCAACTGAGGAAGGGAAAAATTGTTGAACCAAGAGGAGGTCGACCAGATCTGGCTCGCGGTAGAACCAGCCCTTTCTAATACCTCGTGGACAGGATCAGATAAGGAGATCCGCTCGACCTGACCAGTAATATGGTCGGTGTGGGTCTCACCTGCATTCAAGGGTTCCCCCCGAACGGAGTCAAAATGCTGAGAGAACTGATGTAGTTGGTCAGAGCCGAACCGATCGTCGACCAGCATGGCCTCGAATTGGTCCTGATGGACCTGCTGTATTGGCTGTGGCTCTGGAAGCGGTTGAGAAGAGGCAGCATCCTGAGCGGGAACAATGGAGGGAGTAGGTTGGGGGTTCTTCCTGGATTTTTTCCGTTTACCGGCCCCACCGGCTGCAATAACTCTGCTATCGTCCATGGGTAGATCTGGGTTTGGTGCTGAAAAAAGACAAAGGACAATGTTAGTATCGAGCGGCCTTAGCGTGTGAGAAACTAGAAAAAAGAACAAAAGAACGTTTCTCGCACGGGAAGGACCGCCCGGACCATGGCACTTGGTTTCTCAAAACAAGTAAACCCAAGAGAACGGGCAGTACCTATCCCGGCTGTAATAAGTCATTCGGGAGTCATGATGTCCATGCATTTATCCTTCTCCACAGCAAGCACGTCCTTGTAAATTTCTTCAGTGAGGACAGGATCAGGAGTTTTGCGGGGGAAAGCATTCCATTTGCGGGGAATTAGGCCGTCCGGGACAGACACGAAGAAAAACCGGTCTTTCCACCCTTTGATTGAAGTTGGGTTTCCCTTGAACAGGATGTGTCCCGTTCGGGCACTAGTGGCCAGATAGCCGTGGGTTTGTTGGGGGGCTACCTTGAAAAATTGGTGGAAGAGTTCTAGGGTTGGTCGGGCGCCGACATCTTTACAACGGCAAATAAAACCCGCCATTGCCCGATAGGAGTTCGGCATAATCTGGGCCGGTACGACTTCGTAGAAATTGAAGAATGAAATGTAAAAAGGGTGTAGCGGAAACCTAAGGTCGGCCCTAATTGAGTCAAAATGAACTATGGTCATTCCGGGCCTATGACGCATTGGGTGAAGCCCAACTTGCAAACGGAAATCCACCGGGTCAGGGATAAGGGCCGGAATTTCGGCCCTATTATGGGAGGTCAGTTTTTGCCGCCTCTCCCTAATCAATTTTAGGTCAAGGGTATGGCGAGGAAAATCGTTGGGACGTCCGGCCGCCATGGAGCCTATTTCGTCCTCGGATTTGGTGTCGTCGAAATCTTCACTGGAGGAAGAAGAAGTGCTAGGAAGGTCCTCCGCCTCAGCCCTGGTATTCGTCGCAGTTTCAGTAGAACCACCGGCAAACGGGACTGTGATGACGTCCACAATGGCGACGTCACGGTCATCTCCATGGAAGGCCATCTCCGAATCAGAGGAATGCTGTCTGGGGCTCATCTCGGTCGAGCCAAAAATGAAGATAAGGAATCCGGATTTGAGAAGTTACCTGAGCGATGGAAGCTGGGAGAAAATTGCAGGGTAATCAACAAGGCGTAGAGAATTGCAGAATCGAAACCCGGAATTGAGAAGTTAAAGGCTAATTTATAGCCTTGAAACCGCCGTGTCAAGAACCAATCAGAGAGCGACACGTCACAAGGAGCATTTAAGCTCAACACGTGTCTGATGAAAAGACTAAACGACGGTTATCATGATGAATATGGGGAAATGAAGCGGCAGCCGTCAAATCGCAGCATGGGGAACTGATTACTTCTGTACCCCGATCGCCATTCGGGGTATTATAACATTGATATACTTCCTAATGCACTCACTATCGTTCGAGACATCGGAAGTGGGGGACTTGTGTTGGGATATTGACCTAGAGGCCCAATACCCAGATCGAGAAGGCCCAAGATATCTGGCCCAAGCAACGGGCCCATCACTCTATGATGAATAGATCCAGTAAGAAGACATACCGAACGGAGTTCGGCCCAAATAAAGGTTGGCCCAGTAAGAAGATATACCGAACAGGGTTCGGGCTATATATCGTACTTGGGCCAATTTGACAGCATCTTCAGTACAGCCCAACATCCCGTTCGAGTAACGGCCAACCAGCAAGTGGCCAGGTGCAATTAATGTCAGACTATGACATCAGCAAGTGGAAGCATGGATGACCAAGTCGGTGGAACAACGGCCAATCAGCATGGGGCAGCCCATGCTCTCCATTAGTATAAATAGAAGGTTTCAAGTCATTGTAAGGGTTAGCATTTCAATACTCAGGCTCTAGAATAGCATCTTTGCTCTTATTTCTTGTATTAAAGCATTGTTTCCGACTTACCGATCGGGAAATTCCTGTAATCAGACTGGTTAATTAATACAAGTGAGCTTTCGAGTGTTAGTTAGTTAAGATCTTATATTTTTTACACGCTTTGATTCTGTGTCATTCCTTATATATCCAAAGTTCGTGTTGGGCTTTCGGATCTACGGGATTTACACTCAACAAGGGACAAAGCTATTAGTTACAAGACATGATGTGGAACTGCCTATCATCTTCAAATACAACATTACCGCAGTGACGCAAAGGCTCCCACTTACGATGGGGTACACGAGTCGGATGTAAGCATCCTTACCCCTGTACTAAAGGACAGAGAGACTGTTTCCAGATAACCGATGATGAAAATTGCATTAAAAATTGTATGGACTAATTATTGCTTCATAACAAAGATGAAAAGATAGTTTCATGAGTCATTTTACTTTACTCCATGTCTCCATCATATTTCCAAGTCCAAAAAATAGTGAGTCTTTCACTCCAATGAAAGTGATGGAAAATGCCAATCATCTTCTTACTAATCTAAAATCCTATTCAGTGGCCCACACATATATTACTACGTCTACATAGCTATATTTAAATAGATAAAGGATGTGATCAATTACTCCAAATATTTAGAATGGTAGAGTCTTGGTCTGTCCTAGTTGATATTGACTTGTTTTTAAATATGTTGGATTGAGCTTTGATACCATTCATTCTAATTTAAATTTAAAGAAAATGTAGTTAAAGACTTAAAGTTATTAATGCAATTTCGTATTATCCATAAAAATGCAATTTCGTATTAATGACGTTCTTTAGTCAAACTTGACATTGAGTGGGTAAAATATATCAAGTGTAAAAATATTGAACGGGATTTACTCAATTTTATTAATTCGAACTCGATATAATTATATTATTTTGGATAAAATCTCGAAAACAATGACAATGCCGCTGTCAAAGATTCAAAGTTGTCGACAAATATGTTATTATTCTGGTGAACCAGGTTGGGTAAAAGTAGGGGTCAGCTTTTTGTTCTTAAATTGGTTTTCGACATAGTTCGATTTGAACTACGTTGGGAGAATGATTAACAGATAAAAACAATGTCATGTTACAATTTATTTCATTTTTTCTGTTTTTTTTCGTTTAGAATATATTAATTAAAGTCTAATGACATCTTTTATTCAGTCTTGTATTTATTATTCATTTTGATTCAACTAATTATGGATTGAAAGAAATGTTATATAATTCCATGTGATTTGATTTGGTCAAACCAAGCAGAAATACCCACCCAGATATAAATCCATTAAAAAAGAGGTAAGAATGAAATCTCACTCTTGTTTTTAGGATTCAGAGAAGGTGAGCTCTCAAGTACATGGTGGACTGACTCTTCCAGCTTCACTCTGTAATTCAATCCATTGATGTCACCAACTTCAGATCCAAACACTTCTTTCCTCTTTCTCTTGTTTAGGCTGCATTCTGTTTCCATTTCATCCTGGAAGATCTCATCATCATCAGAGTCAGACTCGGGATTGCAGGCGGCTTTGAATCTGGCATCGTCGTCATCATCATCATCATGAGTTTTGAATTGCGGGTATTCTATTTCAGTAGCGCTCTTGTCAAATATGATGACATGAAAGTGGGATTCTCCGTCATATCTGAATACCAGAAAGTGGCCCTCTCTTATTGAGTATTTCCGAGTGAACTCTTTCCATCCCCTGGCTAGACAAACTTGACCTTGGGAAGGAACCAGCTCGATTTCCCAGACTTCCCCTGTAGGAACCTCAAAAGATCCCACCTTTGGCATTTTCTTTCCATATTTTGTCACAAACTCTTCCGGAATTCTCTGCAGAGAACTCAAACTCAAGATTGTCCCCATAAAAGAGCATTTATTTACAAGCATTTTTCACACAGGAAAAACTTTTTATTTGTCACCTAGTCTAATCTTGTTGAGTAGAATTTAAGTATATCAAGTTAGTTCCATTATTTAAATATAAAAAAAACTACTTTCTTCTAATACTTTAGACCTTGTCTAGCTTGAATATGGTATGATTTAACTATCAGTTAGTTCAATACCTTTCGCCTAATCCATTGGCGACTGACAAATCTTTGCGATTTCATTCCCTGTTCTGCTATTTCATCCCCTGTTCTTCGATTCGATTCCCTCTGGGATGGTCACTATTGGCTAGGGTTCATGGCGGTGAGGCGGCTGGTCCGAATCTATGGCGGCTGGATTTGCGGAGTGTGATGCAGGGGTGGGAAAGTAGCGTGCAGTGGCTGGATGGCGTAAAGCAGTGACAGCGTTGGAATTGGGATGGGCAGTGGCGGTGGCCTGGGGCTGGGGAGGCTGGCCGGAGAGGTGGCTAGGGAGGGGTAGGGGGTGTAGTGACAGTCACTGGATGAGACAGTGGCAGCGGTCACCGGAAAGGGCGAGACGGTAGTCACTGGACGGGCTTGGTGGTGGTCACTCGGATTGGTAATTCTCGGGTGGCCACTGTGGCATTAGTCACTCCAGACAGAGTCAATTTGAATTTGGTCACTCTAACTGTGGTCATTGTAGCAGGTCAGCTAGGTTTAGTAATGGTATAGTGGTCTTCTTAGTCCTTTTTAGTCTCATTGGTGGAAATTTAAAAAAGACATATTTTCTGTTCATCTCTTAATTTTTAATACTTACTCTGTCCCATTGTCCTACTTTGGTTTTACGCAATTATTTATAGTGTTTGAAAGAATAAAAATTATGGTTGAGATCTGAGTCTAATAAAGTGAAATTTTGTAGACCGTAATATTTCTTTTCAAAAAGGAAGACCCTCTTAATCATAATTGGCAATGGTAATTTCACCAGTGTTTGGGTTGATCCTCAAGGAGTAATGCTTCATAGCACAGGTCAGGGAATAAGACCGGACTGACCTAAGCTTGTCCTGCTTGAACTAAAACATTTATGAGTAATAGTTAAGCAAATGAGAAGCGCGGAGTAACATTCTTGTCCTAATCCCAATTTATAACTCTTATTTAGGAGAAAAAAATATAGTTCTACTTCATACATTTCACAAAATCACTGTGTTTTTACCCCTATTTAAAACTTTCCAAATCATAGTTTTTTTAAAGAGCATTATTTCCAGATTAATACTCCCTCCGGTCCCAAATGAAATTCACATTTTCGTTTTTGTGTAGGTCCAAAATAAACTTCACATTTCTCTCCTTTCCTTATTTGTCAAATTATCTACGTCCAAACAGTGTAAAACAGTGTCAAACAGTGTCAAACAGAGTACTCTTCACTAAAGACAAATTTATTTCCTTAATTTGGGACCAGAGGAGTGTAGAATACACATGTAAATCTGATAGTTTCCCAATCTTACTTTCTTGATTCGTTGAACTGCTGCTTTAATCTAGGGAGTATATGTTATTGCTATGGTTCAGAGCATGACAGAGCCAGAAATGTACTTTTAGGGGGTCGGGATTTGAAAATCAAAACTTAAAACTTTATTATGAATTTTTCTGGAGATTGGTGGTCGAGGCACTTCCAACCCCTCCGTGTCTCCACAAATTAAGGTGAGGAGGGAGGAGGCTTACCAGGGTGGCGTCTTCTGGAGGAGAAATAATCTTGAAAAATTGTACCCAATTTCCTGATGAACACTTTGAACCATAACTCCCCTCGCAGCATTGGCTTCGCCGTAAGAGCTTGGTCTCCATAATTTCTCAAATGAGTGTGTAAAAAATATGAAATCTTACTATATACAAACTGAAGTGGAAAAGTAAACAAGTTTCCAACCAAAAGATGCGGTTCAAAATATGAGTCAGGTCATGCGATGAGTTTTGTCCGAATTGTGGGGCGTAGTTTGACGGGTGCCTGACAATTCACGTGTGTTCCTTGACCATTGTGTGTTCCTTGACCATTCAAATGCGCCAAATCACTGATGATATCTCCTTGACCATTCAAGACACATTTGAAGATGTGTTTATTGTTCACCATTAATGTTGAGCAGTCAATTAAATTACATTTCATACTGACCAGTCCTATCAAACTTCCATTCAAACTGTAAATTTATTAAATGCATGTACTAATCCCAATTTCTTACTACTCCGTATTATATTTTGGTTATTGCAATGTTACAAGATTTTTGAATCGTGCAGCCAGACGATGTGCTATTTCATCTATAAAAGTGGACCATTGAGAAGAGATAGACACACAATATCTCATTAAACAAGTTGACGAATAATAAGTTTTAAGCACTGAAGGTACTGCTTGCAAGGGCATATGAAGTTTCGGTCAACTCCAAAGGACAGGCATGGGGATACCCTGGCATGAAGTAAGTTATTTTTACAGAACGGGTCATTAAATGAAGTTGAAATAAATATTGAATCTCAATCTCAAATATATTAAAAAATTCAACAAAATCATTTTCAGCTAAAAGGGAGAGAATAAAATTTTTAGGCTGGCTTATATTGAGCACATTTCTTACTGGCACACAAGAAAACCTACAAGGATACACAACCACAATGAAGAAGCTGTTCCTGCACCATTCACACTCAGACCAAGCAATACATGGCTACAAAATATTGTCCTATCGGAAAGGTATGTTGAAATTATATCTTTGTGATTACTATCACATAGTAACAAGTGAAATAGCTATGCACCTGATGCTATGAAAACTGATATACAGTTATATTCAAAAATAGTGAGAACATAGACATTTGTCTGCATTCAGAGAGTTAGGTTTAAAATGATGTGCTTTACAGACGACATACAAAACAACATCATATATATGTATGAACCCATATAAACATCTGAGCAAGTTTATGTATTCACCTTTAGTATATCTTCTACTGTCTAATATCATAAACATATTCATGTTTTATATTTGCATACTTTACAGAATGCAAGAAATGAACGTGATCCTAATTTGACACATTTTCATATTTTTTGTATGAAGAGGTTTAGCAAGAGAAGATATATTGTTGGACACTGGAAATAATTTCACAGTTCGGCTGCAGGAGAGCCCAAAATCCCTAGATGGATTGTAAAACACAACCCCACCTACTTCAATGTTATAACTTTGTATTAAATTTGATTGGACAAAAAAACTACTCCCTCCGTTCCTTAATAAACTTCCAACTTTCCTTTTTCGTCTGTTCCAATTAAATTTCCACTTTCCCTTTTTGGTAAAGAATTTGTGGTTCACAACATTTCTTACACATTTCTCTCTCCTCTGCACAACTCTCCACCACACAATACCCACTTTTCTTAAATTGTGTGCCAAAGTGGGTTGGAAGATAAAATAGGAACGGAGGTAGTATAATTAAGTAGAGTTGTTGGGGTGTAAAGAGAATATATATTGCCGGAACGCGCCCAAATTTCGGGTCCAAGACAGAAACCAGGACCTGTACGAGATCAGGTCCACCCCTATATTAGTATATTATACTCCATACATATTTTTGAAGTCCCTGTTTTGCAAATTTTTGTAATGTAAGGATGTTAAGTGTTATCTTCGAGACTTCAATATAAGTCTAAATGTATTTATTTCCAATGTAAAGAACATATATATTGTCTGGACATGTCCAAATTTCCAATGCATGTTGTGAGAAGGGAATTGTTTATGAGCAAGTGGTATGCTGATAGTGTATGCATCTAACCATGGGTTTTACAACAAAATTTAATACACTATTAAATGATTTTGATTCAATCCTGAAAATGACATTGATCATTCATCACACCAAAGATATAAACACTAAATGTATTGATGGAGTATATGGGTCTGAGCCCCTGGACCCACATACTCAGAAGAACAGAAAGCACAAGACACCGAGTGGCGCCCTCGTCGGCCAAGGGACCCCCGTCGGCCGAAGAGGTGCCAACTCAGATTATGGTCCTGAAGCCAAGGAACCCGGGTGCCCTCGTCGGCCGCGCCCTCGTCGGCCGTGCCCTCGTCGGCCACGCCCTCGTCGGCCACGAAGACCTCGCAGAACCGGATTCTATACTTACTCATTTATACAGCCCATTAGTGGCTTTGTATTCGGCCCAGTAGTGGTCCAGTTGTAAATGGGCCTCCCAAGCCCAAGGCTTGGGAGCCCAGTCCGTATTTTCTCTATAAATACTCCCCTTGGGAGTAGTTATAGGGGTTACAAATTCATTCTATTGAAGCATATTATTGCACTTCTCTCTCTAGCTCTCACTTCTCTCTAGATATACTCTATCATTTGGTGCTCTCGTGGAGAGCTAGAACAATCAAGTTAGCACCCTTCGTCGCTACCAAGCACAGCTAACCACTGATCATGGGAAGAACTAAATCAAACTGCAACCTCGTCAGCAAGGCCATCCCTGAGGACCAAGAGCCCAGGGAGCACGATGAGGACGCCACGGCCGACCAGGTCGCCGGAGGGGACGTCTTCCAGGAAGCCTTCAACCTCACGGCGGACCTCCGCAACCAACTCAACGGCGGAGCCCCTGATGCCCGCATCGGCTTGGACAAGAAACGAGCTGAGAAGACGGACCACGCCTCGGCCCAGCCTATGGCCGCGGCCCAGCCTATGGCCGCGGCCTCTCCGTCCGTGGATCCACAGGTCCAGGCCGCTCTGTCGGTCATCATCGCCAGCCTGGCTCAGAACCCCACCGTCCTCAGCGCACTCTTGCCAAGGACCGGGGGGAACATCACTCCACCTCCTCACCCCCAACCGTTGGCCGTCCAGATAGGCAACGATGAGGGGGTGGTGGCCCAGGACACGACGTCGTCCCACTCCCACCCTGCTTCCCCTCTTCGGCCTGGGCAGACCCCAGCGCGTGGAAAAGCCTCTGCCTTCAACAGGCTAGGTGACACGCGCCGTCGTCCGGTTTCGGAGAGGATGGCGGGACGGATTGGTGAGCCTCGTCCTGGCTCGCCGAGGGAAAGCTTGGGGTCTGTGTCCCGGACAGCGGACCAGCCCCGCCCGGACAAGGGCAAGGGGAAGTTGCACGAAGACGACGTGCGCCACCGGATCAATGCGGCTCACGACGAGCGCATGAGGAACCAGCCGGGCGCCGCGGCGGCCGCCAGGGACCCCCGGGATGAAGTCATCGCCCAGCTGGAAAGGAGGCTGGCTCAGATGGAAGCCAAGCAGTCGGCCAACATCCCTACGGCCGGCGCCTCCAACGACCCCGGCATCAACGCACTCATGAACAAGGTTAGCGCCCTGGAGAGGGAGCTGGCCGAGGGGCGAGGTGACCCCATCATCCAGGACAGGACCAGGACCCCTTTCACCAACAGGGTCCTCTCGGCCCCCATCCCGGAGAAGTACAGGGGGAACGCCATCAAATCCTACGACGGCCGATCAGACCCCCAGGAACACTTCAGCCGCTATCAGAACAACATGCTGATGGTTAACGCGTCCGACGAATATCTCTGCCGTTGGTTCCTCTCTACTCTCGAGGGGCCAGCGTACGAGTGGTATAACGCGCTCACCGAAGGGAGCATCGACTCATGGCAGGATCTCGCCCAACGCTTCCTCACCCACTTTGCCGGGAGGAAGCGTGCGAAGAAGTATTTCACCCACCTCCTCTCCGTCAAGCAGCAGCACGAGGAGTCCCTCCGGTCATT